AGGAGGCCACGCCCCCTGAGGGGAGAGGAGGCCACGCCCCCTGAGGGGAGAGGAGGCCACGCCCCCTGGGTGGGGAGAGGAGGCCACGCCCCCTGGGTGGGGAGAGGAGGCCACGCCCCCTGGATAGACGAGGCCACGCCCCCTGCTGTTCTTCCTTTTAGCACTAGGAGGGGATGGGTGGCCCCGCCCCTCCACTTCCGGTCTTAGCAGATAGCCGTTGGCCACGCCCCCTGGGAGAGCGTGGCCACGCCCCCTTGTGCGTGCATTTGGCCACGCCCCCTGCTGCTAACTGTTCCTAGCAGTATGGGCGTGGGTGGGTGGCCCCGCCCCTCCACTTCCGGTCTCAGGAGATAGAGGGTGGCCACGCCCCCTAGGAGAGATAGCCACGCCCCCTGGGAGCACGTCGCCACGCCCCCTGCGTGCCTGTGGCCACGCCCCCTGCTCCTGAGAGTCCCCAGCTCTGTTATTATTATTGTTGTTGTTGTTATTATTATTGTTATTGTTATTATTACTGTTATTATTGTTATTATTATTGTTATTATTGTTATTGTTATTATTACTGTTATTATTGTTATTATTATTGTTATTATTAATATCATTATTGTTATTATTATTATATTATTGTTATTAGTAATTATTATTGTTATTATTATTGTTATTGTTATTATTTTTGTTATTATTATTGTTAGTATTGTTATTATTATTATTATTAATTATTATTATTGTTGTTATTGTTATTATTATTATTGTTATTATTACTGTTATTATTGTTATTGTTATTGTTGTTATGATTATTTATTATTATTATTGTTATTATTGTTAATATTGTTATTATTATTATATTACTGTTATTATTATTATTAATTATTTTTATTATTATTATTGTTATTATTATTGTCATTGTTATTATTATTATTAATTATTATTATTGTTATTATTGTTATTATTATTGTTACTATTATTATTTTTGTTATTATTATTGTTAATATTGTTGTTATTGTTATTATTATTATTAATTATTATGATTGTTGTTATTGTTATTATTGTTATGTTGTTGTTATTATTATTGTTATTATTATTATTGTTATTATTATTGTTGTTATTATTATTATTTTATTGTTATTATTATTATTTATTATTATTATTGTTCTTATTGTTATTGTTATTATTATTATTGTTATCATTATTATTATAATTATTGTTACTATTATTGTTATTATTATTATTATTGTTATTATTATTGTTACTATTATTATTTTTGTTATTATTGTTATTATTATTATTGTTATTATTATTGTTACTATTATTATTTTTGTTATTATTATTGTTAATATTGTTATTATTGTTATTATTTCTATTAATTATTGTTATTATTGTTGTTATTATTATTATTGTTATTGTTATTATTATATTATTATTGTTATTAATTATTATTATTATTGTTATTATTATTGTTATTATTATTATTATTGTTGTTGTTATTATTGTGACTGTTCTGGATATTCTCCTTATTCTTGTTCTTAGAATGATAAAGACTCTTATGATAATGATGGATCACCTATTATTATTATTATTATTCTTACTGTTACTGTGCTCACGGTTTATGTTATTCTTGCTACTGTCACTGTTCTTATTATTATTCTTCTTATTCTTGTTCTTAGGAGGACCATCACTGTGATTATTAAGGTTGATGATGACTTAGTATTATTATTATTATTGTTATTCTTGTTACTGTTAGTATTATTCACGTTATTCTTCTTATTCTTGTTCTTAGGATGACCAGGACTCTTATTATTATGGTGGAGGATGACTAACTATTATTATTATTGTGGTTATTGTTCTCATTCTTACTGTTCCTGCTGACTGACCTCTCTCTCTCTCTCTCTTTCTCTCTCTCTATGTCCGTCCGTCCATCCAGACACCGAGCGTCTCTACTCCCAAGTCTTCGGGGAGCTGTGTGGCCGCCACGGCCGGGAATATTCCTCAGAGCTGCAGGCCAGGGTCATGGGTCACACGGCCCCCGAGGCCGCCAGGGTCATCGTGGACACCCTGCACCTGCCCCTGACCCCCCAGGAGCTGCTGGACCAGAGCCAAGCCCGGCTGAAGGAGGTGTTCCCCACGGCCAGGCTCCTGCCAGGTCAGTGCCGCACCATCCACCCATCCACTCATCTATCCACCCATCCATCCATCCATCCACCCATCCATCCCCCCATCCACCCACCCATCCATCCATCCATCCA